CCTCCTCCTCCTCCTCCTCCTCCTCCTCCTCCTCCTCCTCTTTGTTAGCCGTTCTCTCGGCCCCGCGGGGGCCCTCACACGGGGCCTCGCGGGGCCGTCAACAAAAAACGCTCGGACGGTGGAAGACAGGTCCTCTGGGCAGAGGGGCCCTGCCCTGCGCCCGGAATCGCCCAGCCAATATCGGCGCGGTCGTGCGGCAGGCCCAGACCCCCCGACGTCGTGAATCTCTGTCATGACGTGAAGCCCCGAGGGTCTGGACCTCGCCCACCAGGACCAGCTTTTCATGGGGCGCACAGAGACATACTAGTACTACATGTCCTCCTTGGAGGCGCGCGTCCGATGCGAACATATAGTATACCCATATTGTAGCGTCGCCCTTGGGGGGGGCGACGCACACACACACATAGTTTTAGTATGTTGGGGTGACGCCGATTTCATCCTGCGTCATTTGTTTTATGGTCCTAACGCCTGGGAAGGGCCCACAAAGGCCGAAGATACAGGAAACAGTTCGCAACGCGAGCACGTCTGCATCTACAACCACCCGTGGTGGGATTCCTCACTGGAGGCGCGCGGAGCGCGCCAGGGGCGGCGCTGGAGACGCCGCCAGGAGGGCCGCCAAGCGCCGATCCAAGAAATCCGCTTACGCAGTGCTTCCTTACATTTCTTAGTTCTTCGATGCAGTGTATTCGGCCAGTCTACGCAGTGCAACTATGCAGAGAATTCAGCTCGTCTATGCCATTCGCCTATGACACTGTATGTCTATGCAATTTTCGGGGGCGCGCAAACATGGGTTCGCGATCCATGGATCTGGCGCGCGGTCGCCAAATCCATGGCACGGGGAAGGTGCCCTCCCCAAAATGCGGCCGGTGCCTCCTCTCTCGGCGGCGGAACTCCGCGACTTCCGATGGAAACGGGGCCCGTCGCTAATCCACGCCCCCTGGAACCATGCTTGCCATCGCCTGAAATTGATTCCTTCCTCGACTCGTCCTCCCCCGCCTCGACCGCCCTGACTGTTCCACGACCCGACGCGGTCTGGGGCTGGCGCCCACACGGGCCTGGCCCCGCCGGCGGCGCGCAGCTCCTCGTCCACGGCCGCGAACGCCTCGCTCAGGGCCCTGGCGGGGTCGCCGCGATCGCCGAGGAGCCTCTCGCCGACGACCTCCGGCAGCCTGCTGGCGAGGCCAAACTCGTGGGGCGGTTTCGTATCCGGCGTTTCGACACTGTGCGGAAGGGAGGGGAGAAGGGGGGGGGGGCGGCTCCGGACCTCTGCTTAGTGCGACTGTTGGCAGCAGTGCGTCCTGTGGGAGAGGCTCCACCTGCTCGAAACGGGCGCCAGAAAAAGCCAAAATCTACTCTTCAGGGGGGGGGGGCAGGGGGGGTGCGAGGGCCCGTGCCGATCGCAAACAATGGATAAGAAACGATCACCTCGCAGACCTTTGTGCTGCGTTTGTTTACGGTGTTTGAGTCCGGTGTCAGGCCCTGGGACCCTCCCGGATCGATGCGGCTCGAAGAATGGCACAGAAAGCCCGTGTCTGGGGCTCTGGTCGTGATGGTTTGCGATGCTGCTGTTCTTTTGCTGCAGCGTCGGATCTCAGGCAAAGGTGCCGATACCTCTACGCCCCCGAAGGGGCAACGATATGGCAGGGGGGCTGGCGCAAAGGGGGGAGGCATCGAGCTGAGATCGGCGAGGCATCGCCCACAGAGCGGCGCCAGGCGGCCGAGTGCACATCCGCACGCTCCTGGGCGGGCTGAGCTATCCCATATCTGCGATCCATGGGCGGTCGGGGGTCGATGCATCCCCACAGTGCTTCCCCCCCCCAACGTTGCCCCTGACCCCCAGACCTCCCCTGGGGCGCGCTCTAACCAGGATCTCGAGGCGAATTCCAGCAGGGCGACTCGGGCTTCCCAGGAGGCTGAACAAGGCGAAAGCGACGTGAAAGTACCCTGAGATCCGATGTCTTGAGTTTTTCTCACGGGGACCCCCAGAAGTTCCCACCCATTCCCCAGGAGCAGCTTGTCAACCCGCGTCGTTTCGCGAAGGCCCCGGGGCCCTGTCACGACACGATCATGTCTGGAACCCGCGGATCCTGGAACTACCTTCTCCAGAAGAAGCAAACATCCATGAACATAAACTTTCGGGGGTCCGCTCGGATTTCCTGGATCGGCGGTGGACCCCCCTCCCCTCCCTGGTGCGCGGAGCGCGCCAGAAGCGGCGCCGGAGGCGCCGCCAGTGGGGGCGAGCGCCGATCCGAGAAACCCGCGTGCAGCTCCGAAAGTGAATGCTTATGCCGATGATTGTTCTTCGATCCTCCTCCTCCTCCTCCTCCTCCTCCTCCTCCTCCTCCTCCATCCTCCTCCTCCTCCCCTCCCCTCTTCCTCCTCCTCCTCCTCCTCCTCCTATCAGCCTCCTCCTCCTCCTACTCCTCCTCCTCCTCCTGCTCCTGCTCCTGCTCCTCCTCCTCCTCCTCCTCCTCCTCCTGCTCCTCCTACTCCTCCTCCTCCTCCCCCTTCCCCTCCTCATTCTCATCATGCACCTCCACTCCTCTTCCTTGTAAACAACTCCTCCTTCTCGTACCAGGAGACCAGTCGGAAGGGCTGGCCATGCGTTTCGCCTCGGACTTGTTTAAAAAGTATGATCCGCAATCATGAAAAAGAGAAACAGCTTCACACATCGAGGGCGAAAGGTTTTCAAAATGTGGCTCTCTCCTTAGCGCCGCGCACACTCTGTCTTAAAAACTGCAAGGGTTTCACGGTTTCTGGTCGGGCGGTTTTCAAAATGTGACTCTGGTCTTAGCGTCGCGCAAATTATTTTCAAACAGTTGCGAGATTATCAGGGATTGACGGCGGGCCGCTTTCAACATGTGGCGCCACGCACATTCGCTAACAAAAACTTGCAAGAGCTTCACGGGTTCGCATGGTCAACGTATCAGAAGTTGCACTTTGCAGCGATTCAGGATTGCCAAGGGGCTACAGTTACCTTGATTCGCGGTGTTGGAGTCCCAAGAATGGCGTCCTGACACGATTCAGGATCGGCAAAACGCAGCAGTCAAGTTGATTCGTGGCTTTGGGGTCCTGGAAATGGTGCTTGGGCATGCCCCAGGATCCTCGAACGGATGTCTCCTCACGGGGCACTTCCCTCAGGCGGAATGCATCCTGGTAGGGGCCTGTGAAGAGGGAGTTCGGAGGGAGGGTGCATCCCAACATCGTTGATGAGCCTCGGGTTCACACTGCTCCTTCGCCTCCTCCGCCTCCTCCCCCTGCTCTCAGGCCTGCGGGCGACGAAGTCCGCGGCCTGGGGGCCGCCGTGGCCGTCAAAGACCCCGAACAGGGAGGCCCAGCCAGCGCAGCCCGGCAGCTCCGCGACAGCGCACGCGCGGTCCTCCTGGGGGGGGCCCGCGCTTTCAGAGATCCGCGCCGCGGTCTCGCCACGAGCGCGCGGGCAGACGCCCGCGGTGGAAGGGCCCGGGACGGTGGCACGAGCGAAGCGACTGAGCGAACGGCTGCTCCATGCTTGTTTGCCTTCCACGCCTGCCCATCTGCCCAGGATGACCTGAGAGAACCCCTCTGAGAGCCAGCCCTCAAAGGCGGCCTCAAAGGCGGCCCCAAACGGTCCGAGCACCGAGAGGGCCCGAAGAAGGCCCCAAGACGGGCCCAGGCGGCCCCAGGAGTTGTCTGCGGAGCCAGCTCGGGAGAGTTCGGTGGAGCCCTCGCGCTCAAGGCAGCCCCCCAGAGGCAGTCGATGAGCATCGTTTAACCGATCCCTGTCCCCACTGGTGGGGCCTTGGCCCCACTGGCACAAAAATAGCATAAACTCGGGGATCTTCTGACCCTGGTCAATCCAGACCCGGGTCAGCAGGAAACCAAAAACTGCAATGCAGGAAAAAAAAGCTGCAACGCAGATCTTCGCAAACCCGGGTCAGCCAATATACGCGGCCGCCTCGCGGCCACATGCGGCTCGCTAACCCGGGTCAGACAGAGGGGATCTTCGCAGGATCCTGCAAGATCTGGCGCTCTGGCTGACCCCCGTCTGCACTGATCCCCGTCTCAAGGCTCCCGATAAACACAGACTGTCTGAGCTCCGGGCAGAAGTACTCGGATCGGCGATGGGTCCCCGTGGCGGCGCCTCCAGCGCCGCCCCCTGGCTGGCGCGCTCCGCGCGCCAGGAAGGGAGGTCTATAGCGCCGATCCAAGGAATTCGAGCGGACCTCCGAACGTTCATTATCCCCGAGCGTTATCAGGTCACGAAATGTGTCTCGCTATTTTCGGCCTGCGGGGGCCCTCCCTGGCCCCCTGGGTCGTCTGGAAAGGACTCGGCACGAAAAGCCGGTCCCGAGGAAAGGGGTCGAGGCCTCTGGGGGTCATCGTCATGAAGAAGTCATGGCGTCGCGGTCTGGGTTCCCTCTGGCGTGGCCTTGGCCCCAATGGCCGACTTACCCGCCAAGGTGGGGATATATACGCCTGCTCCTGCGAGTCTCGCAGGGCCCATCCTCACCCGGGGTGGTTGGGATGGTGAGGCTGAAATACTAGGGACCACTAGGATTGGGTCGGGCAGTTGTTGCTTTTTATATGTGTATATATATATGTATATGAATGGTACACTCACAAAATAAAGCAAACAAATCGTCCCCTGACTGTTTTTTACTTTTTTGAATATTCCTCCTGTGGAGGGACATGCCCGACTAAACACTAGGCATGGGGACAAGATAGACGATGCTGAACTCGGAACGTCGGTCTCGCTCTTTGTCATCGTCCGTCTTGGTCATCGTCGTCGCGTGGATCCCCCTCGCGAATCGGCGACAGCCGGCACTGGCCATGGCCAAGAACGACACCTACAATTGAGGGCACGCACGATGGGGTTGCGGGGACGGGGGAAGGCTGCTTAGAAGCAGGGGTGCTTCTAAGAAGCCTTCCCTGGAGGAATACAAAACTGCATAAGCAGAAACTTTTGGAGGTCCGCGCGGATTTCTTGGATTCGCGCTGGGCCCCTCCTCCCTGGCGCGCGGAGCGCGCAAGGGATGCGTCGCCAGAGGCGCCGCCAAGGGGTGCCCAGCGCGGACCCAAGAAGTCCGCGCGGAGCGCCCAAAGTTTCTGTGTATGCTGCTCTTGTTTCTTCGATTTCCCAACCTTCCCCTCCCCCACACCAGGAGAGCCCAGAGTCGAATCGACACGTCGGATCGGCGATCGAAATGCATCGGATCGGCGGCTATCGGCAGCCGAGGCGGGAAGAGTCGAATCCGGCGGAACTCGGCAGTCCTGGGCAGGGCGGTGGCCCTGCAGCGACAGGAAGCAGAACTCCAGGGCCTCGCCGCGGCCGGCGCCCCTGGAGGGCAGCGCGGGGAGCTCCTCCGCGGAAGAAGAAGCTGCACAAACAGACTCGGGGCTTCTCAGGAAGCGTGGGCCCCCCCCCCCGACGGGGGTCAGCCTCGCCTCGTCGTCGCGCCGCGACGAGGGTCGGAGCGCCTTCGGCGCGCGGTGGCTGCCCGCGACGGGGGTCGATGTGGGGCTCATTGAAGAGCTCGGAGTATGCAGATGGAGAGGCCTTGCGAAGGAGGGCCTTGCGCAAGAGATGGCGAGAGGTGTGGGGCTTGTCTGCGAGAGCTCGGAGTGGGCTGCTTCACACGTGGGCGACGCAGAGAAGGAGGGCCCCGCGCACAAGAGATGGCATGGCGGCCCTCGCGCCGCGGCCTGCGCGGGCCGCCGGCGCGGCACGCCACCAAAGGAGACGAGGGCACAGTCACGCGCGACCCTACGCCGGCAGCTCGCGCGCCAGCGGGTGCAGGCGGCCCCGGCTGCTTTCGTCGCTCACGTAGAGGACTCCCAGAATCGGGGATGGACAGACCTCCCTTTAGTAGAACGTGGTTCAGTGAAAACGGCCTGAGGCCCAAACCCAGCGGGCGCAATCCTGGAAAATAACGGCCGCGGCGCCCTCTCGAGAACGGAAAACGGACAATTCACGAATCGACGTGTCACTGTTGGGGGTTCTGTCCACCCCCGACAGAAGGGGGTCCGAGTAGACCGGGTTGGAGGAGCGAGCCGCATCGCCAATGAATCGGCGATGCATCGGCGATGCACCGACGACGTCGCCGACGCATGGGCGACGTCGGCGTGGAGAAGATCGGGCCCCACATCGAGCCGCATCGCCGATGCGTCGGCGATGTAGCGCGATCCTCCGACCCCATCTGCCCCGACCCCATCCAGGAGGCCTAGATCACTTGTCTTCTTCGAGCCTCGGCCACCGGCAGCCTGGCCGGCCTCGAGGAGTCCGGGTAGCCGACCCGCTTGACCAGCGCCATCTCCTGGGCGACCGGCATTCTACAGTGTGGGGGCCCATGCCAAGAAATACCCTGCTTGCCTCCAGGGTGCCCTGGGTTTCTTGGGTTTCGATGGTTCTACTCTGGGAAGGCGTGACGTTCCCACACCAAGAATCAACGGATGTCCTGGGTTCTCTCAGGGTTGTGGAAAGTTCTTGTGGTCGGGGCCCTACTGTATCCAGGCCCCTGCTCACGCCCCGACCTCGCGAGGTACGCCAGAGCGGCGGCACGGATGAGTCGAGCCGGGACCGACCGTCCCAGCAGTCCCGTAGGCCTGCCACGAGATGTTCTTTGTGGTTGACCCAGAAGGGGGTCCAGATGAACGGGGGTGGTGCAACAGGTTTGGGGCAATCGTGTTGCAAATGCATTGCGCCAGAAACTGTGCATTGCATTGCAACGAATGTATTGCACGCGAAAGCCCAGCAATAGATCTGCGCACAGGAATGTATTGCACGTCCCAAATCGTTTGCAACCACACAAATCTATTGCCCCAAATATGTTGCACCACCCCCTCGTCGCTGGACCCCCTGTTTGGGTCAACCAGATTCTTAGAACCCATAAATGTTCCAAGAACAATAACAATGTTCTTAGAACGTGCACCCGATGTGCTAAAACAAGACAGCCTCAGGCAGAACTGTTCTAAGAACATCTCGTGCAGACCTCGAAAGGTTATCATAACATTCTTCAGTGGGCCTAATAGGCGAGCCAGGACGTTTCACCACTGCTTGAATGAAATCCTGGACTCTGGAGACCACGCTCTTTTATCCATGCCCTGCTGCCCCTGGCGCCCAGAGTGGGAGGCAGTAGCAGGTGTACCCATCGGTCGGAAGAAGTAGGCAGAAACATGAAGCAGGGAGGCGTTGAAAGAAGATTGGGTTCGGTCCGCCCCCTGAGGAGGACGGGAACGGTGAGGCCACTCGATCCCTGAATCAGGAAACGCTTGCAGTAGATTGGAAGCTGGGAGTCCGAGAACACCTACTTCCAACGACCGATGGGTATGGATCGACCGTCGATCGCCGAGATCTCCAGCATCTTCAGGAGGCTCGCCGGCCCGAAGACGGCCAGGGCGTCCGGCGCGGCCGGCAGCGGGTCCGCGTCCCCGAGCGGCCGCAGCTCCGCGGTGCCAGCAAGGGCCCTGTGGTACTGCAGCTTGCCGGGGTAGAGGATCCTGTCCCCGAGCGCCTCGCCTGTCCAGGGCTCCGGTCATGATGTTTCCGTTTCCCGACGTTGCAGTTCTTGCAACGTCGGATCCGAAGGGCGGGGGGCAGCTTCGAGGTTCGAGGACGGAGGCTTTCGGATGTTTTCGGCGCTCCTCGGCAGGTCCCCAGCCTCGGAGTGCTTTCAGCAGCTGCGCCTCGCCGAGAGCGTCCCCGGGGTGCCCAAATCATCTCGAGCGGCCGCCAGGGAGCGGAGACGTGACCCAGAAGCCGGACGGCAACGGCTGGGGGAGTCGGGAGACAGTAGAGGGGGGGGGACTGGCTCAGGGGGGGCACATCGAAGCGCATTCGACGATGCATCACCCATGGATCGGCGATGTACAGTGGAGGCCAGTCCACAAGAAACCTTCCACAAGAAACCCAACCCTGAGACCACAGAACGTCCATTGATTTTCGGGTATGGGAACGTCACGACTTCCATCGCAAAACCATCGAAACCCAAGAAACCCAGGGCACCCTGGAGGCAAGCAGGGTGTTTCTTGGCATGGGCCCCCACTGTAGCCCCTCGACTGCGCAGCACAACGTTCCTGGGAGGGGGTGGAGTCTGGGGCCCCTATCGGCGATGAATTGGCGATTGGTTGGGCGTCGTTGCCTTCCCCCCAGATCCAGTCCCCCCAGCGTTCCCCTGAGCCGCCCCCCCCCAAGTCCTGGCCCCCTGGCTGCCGATTCGTAGCTCCGCTCCCCGGCAGCAATTTCGGGACTGTGCGGGCACCCGAGGACTGCTCTCGGCGAGGTGCAGCTGGTGGAAAGCACCCCGAGGCCAAAATACCTCCGAGAAGCGACGGAAACAGCCAGCGAAAAACGCTAACCTCGAACCTCAACGCTCTCGGCGAGGCGCCACTGATGGAAAGCACACCCAAACTGAAAAACCGCCGAGAACTTACGAAGCAAAAACGAACCTCGAACCTCGAACCTCGAAGCGACCCCCCGATCTAACGGAACAAACCTGCAAGAACAGACACGTTCTGAGCTCTACGCGGATTTCTTGGATCGGCGCTGAATACCTCCTCCCTGGCCAGGGGGTCCCAGCGCGTATAAAAACTCCGCGCGGAGCCCAAAAAAGTAAGTGTGTGTGTGTGTGTGTGTGTGGTGTGTGCGTTGTGCGTTGTGTGATGTGTTGTGCGGTGTGTGCTGTGTGGTGTGTGTTGTGTGTGTGTTGTGTGCGTTGTGTGTTGTGTGGTGTGTGCTGTGTGTTGGTTGCTGTGTGTGTTGTGTGTGTTGTGTGTTGTGTGTTGTGTGCTGTGTGTTGTGTGTGCGCTATGTGTTTGGTGTGTGGTGTGCGTGTGGTTGTGCTTGTGCTTGTGCTTGTGCTTGTGCGTGTGCTTGTGTTTGTGCTTGTGCTTGTGCTTGTGCTTGTGCTTGTCCTTGTGTGTGCGTGCGTGCGTGCGTGCGTGCGTGCGTGCGCGCGGGCGGGCGGGCGGGCGGGCGGGCGGGCGTGCGTGCGTGCGTGCGTGCGTGCGTGCGTGCGTGCGTGCGTGCGTGCGTGCGTGCGTGCGTGCGTGCGTGCGTGCGTGTGTGTGTGTGTGTGCGAGTGTATGTGTGTGTGCGTGCGTGTGTGCGTGTGTGAGTTTGCGTGTGCGCGTGCGTTTGCGTATGCGTGTGTGTGTGTGTGTGAGCGGTGTGTGTGTTGTGTTGTGTGCTGTGTGCTGTGTGTTGAGTGGTGTGTTGTGTGTTGTGTGTTGTGTGGTGTGTGCTGTGTGTTGTGTGTGCTTTGTGTGTTGGGTGTTTAATGTTGTGTTGTGTGTTGTGTGTTGTGTGTTGCGTAGTGCGTGTTGCGTGTTGCGTGGTGCGTGTTGCGTGGTGTGTGCTGTGTGCTGCGTGTTGTGTGCTGTGCGGTGTGTTGTGTGTTGTGTGGTGCATGTGATATGGTGTGTGCTGTGTGTTGTGTGATGTGTGTGTGGGTGTTGTGTGTTGTGTCGTGTGTGTTGTGTGCTGTGTGTTGTGTGTTGTGTTGCGTGTTGTGTTGTATGTGTTGTGTAGGTTGTGTAGGTTGTGTGTTGTGTGTACTGTGTAGGTTGTGTAGGTTGTGGATTTGTCGTGTATGTGGTGTGTGTTGTGTGTTGTGTGTGTCCGTGTATGCCGTGTTTCATTTTTTCGACTAAGGGGGAACGAGAGGGAGGACCGGCTCAAGGTGGGGGACACATCGAGCTTGACTGGGCGATGCATCGCCGATGGATCACCGATATAACTTTCGATCGCGAAGCTGAGCCGACCCCCCCCCAGTCGTTGCCGCCTGGCTTTCAGGTCATGCCTCGGCTCCCCGGCAGCCGTTCGAGACGACGGGCAGATCGGGCGGGTAGACCCTAACGGGCGGGCCGGGAAGATGGCCCAGGCGGCCAGGTCGAGCAGGCGGGCTGCTGAAGCGTAAAGCCTACATGAATCGCGAGGATGTCTCGAGCGATAGCGCGACTCTCGAGGAAGTCGTAAGAAAGGCCAGAGCGAGAGCGTGATTTCATTCCCGAGTGTCGAAGGCGCGGCGTCTGAATAAATTGCGAAGAGGTCCCACGCGAGAACGCGATCCCTGCATACATTGTCAGAAATGTCAGCGCGTGAGCGCGATGTTTGGATGAATTGCGCGGCAATGTCAGGCAGGAGCCGCTGTTGTTGTAAAACGGGGGCAACAACGCAGTCTGGGCCCCAAGACATTCTCTTGTAACAAGAGAGCACCAGCCACGGGAAGAGCAAATAAATTGAAAAAGCAAAATGGGCAATGGGGGATCAACAATAGTTACCATATAAGAAAAGGACTCGATGACGACGACGCCGTCGTCGAGAACGACGACGATGACGACGACGATGGCGACGACCACCACCACCACACCCGCAACGCTCACGCGCCCGCCTGCTCACCCACACCCCCACACCCCCGCGCGCTCGATCGGTCGCCCGCCACCCCGCGGCGTGTAGTTCGCCCGACCAATTGCCCGCCCGCCCGCGCGCCTGCCCACCAGCCCGCCCGCCCGCCCGCCTGCGCGCCCGCCCGCCCGCGCACCCGCCCGCCCGCGGGCCCACCCGCCCGCCCGCCAGCTTGCGCGCCCGCCAGCTTGCGCGCCCGCCACCCCGCGCGACCGCCCGCTCGCCCGTCCGCGCGCACGCCCGCGCAACCGCCAGCCAACCCCCCCGCTCGCCCGCCCGCACGCCCGTCCGCCCGCCCGCCCGCGCGCCCGCAGCCGTCCGCCATAAGCATCCAGGCGTGGATGGCGGGGGAAACGGTGGATAGACGAACTACGGTGAGTGGAGGGTGACATAAGCCAATCGCGACTGGAAAGCCAAGGAACAAGATAGCAGAGTGGACGACAACAAGGCCAAGAACCGACTTAGAGGCAGGCGCAGCGAACCGCGCCTACCACACACACACACACACACACACACACATACGCGCACAAAGTACACACCCTCACTGTAAACAAACACACACACACACACACACATACACAACGTCGAAGACAACGCACGGGAAATGCCGAGAAACCCAGGGAGCCTCTGAGATGGCCCGATGAGGCGCCGCCTGCAGCGAACGCACGCACGACGAAAGCAAAGGTGAGAACCCCCCCCGAGCGCCCACAAAAAAACGAAATCAGCTGCCGTCACGACATTCAAGAACATGCGCATAAAAAAACTACGTACAGAAAGCGAACGTGACGGCACCAAAAACGAAAACATGAGAAGGCAGAGAGCACAGAACCCGCCCACCCTAGTTTAGCGAATTTCCGTTGAGGACGGCCACAATTCCAGCACAAGGCAAGTGAAGCCGAAGGCTGTATGCAGCGCGGAACCAAAAAAACCCAGACGCGACGACATCCGAGTTAACGTGCACGCCCCGACCCTCAGAGGAACCGGTAGACCTGCAACCATAGGAACCCGAAATCATGAAACAAAATCCAGCGCCGAAACTCACAACGCAAAGAGCACTAGAATCCATCCCCGAGGAACCAAATCCGAAAGAAATAGTCCTCGCTCGGCCAAGAAAGTGTCCTAGCTGAATCAGAAAATGTCCCCATTCGACCGGGAAAATGTCCCGGGACCTCCCGTAGAATTTCCACGGGGGGAAATCAATTTCGACCGAGGAAAAATTCCCGGTTCGCGGCTAAATGTACCGGTTCGCGACTGGATTTCCTGGTTCGCCTTTTCACCGCATTCCACCACCCCCCTCTCCGCCGCCGTTTCAAGCAATGCCAGGCCGAAAAGGCGTGCAAATGAGTCCTGGCTTGCATGAAGTCCAGATTCCCAAGTCCAGATTCCCGTTTAGGCCTCGCCGCGCACCCCCCCCTTCCCCTCCCCCATGCAAGCAAATTTGTGAGAATCTACAGAAAACTGCCACGTACGTTCATGCCGCGGCTTGTCATTATTTGGTTATGATTGGTGATCATTTTTTTATTCTGGGTTCCGGCTTTAGGCGCATGGGGGGGAGGGGGGGGGGGGTCCGGCTCTCGGCCCGTAGTCAATGCCTCCGATTGAATCATGTGGGGAATCCTTTGGGAGATGCCGATGAGGGAATCCTAGGGGGGACCCCCCATGGGGGAATCGCGCAGCGGCTGCGCGGGGCTGCGCCAAGGCTATGCGTGATTTGGCAAGCCTGTGCCAGAATTGCTAGGGATCACCTATTCATGATTCCACGAGGCCGTCGCTGGCATAACAGGGGAGGGCCCAGCCGGAGGCATGCTTTCTGGCGATCGGGTCCGGCGCCCCTGAGCCAATTCGTTGTGGTTCCAGAAGAGTAGCACGATAAAATGCGCACAGTTGCACACATCAGCGATTCGAGTTTCTACCGGGGGAGGGGGGGGGGGGGGGCGCCGGCCCCTGTAGTTCGTCCGATCGATTGAAGCAGGTGCTAAAATCAGCCCGGAACTTCTCTACGGGGGGGGGGGGAGGGGGGGGGGAGGGGCGTTCCGCCGAAAGCAAAACAAATAATAAAAGAATGCTCACTTGTTATTATTCGTAAAATGTATGATTCGCCTTATTCTTATTATTACGACTATATGATCTTTTGGCCGAACAAGTCGTATACTCATTCACACGTTTTTTCTAATATTACTCCCATTGCTAATATTATGATTGCTGCCATGGTGATTACTATGACTCTTAGGATTATTACTAATATTAATATTATGACTCCTCTGTTTCCAAGCTTATTTTCTGGTTATCATTGTTCTGTATTTCCCTTATTATTCGTCTTCGTCTTCTGATTATTAATACTAGTATACTTATTGTTATTATTATTGTTATATTATTATTAAAACGATTATAATTATCATTTTGATGTTCTTCTTCGACTGCCGTTGGCTGCCACCGATCGCCGCTCCCCAGCTGCCCCTTCCAGGCGCCCAGCGTGCAGCCCGGCGCGGGCGGCACCAGCCCGCCGAAGGTGCCCAGCGGCGTGGCCAGCTGCAGGGTGCCGGGCCCCCCGGGGCTCGCCCTCGGAGTCGCCGCCTCGTCCGAGCTGTCGCCGGAGTCCTCGCGGAGGAGGAGGAGGAGGAGGAGGAGAAGGAGGAGGAGGAGAGCGGCGGACCCCTGACCACCACCACCATAAGCAGGAGGGGGAGGGGGAGGGGGTCCTCCTCCTCCTCCTCCTCCTCCTCCTCCTCCTCCTCATGCTCCTCTTCGTCCTCCTCCTCCTCCTCCTCCTCCTCCTCCTCCTCCTCCACCTCCCTCCCTCCCCCCATCCAACTTATGGCACCCTCGTCGGGGGCGGCCAAGAGGGGGGCATCCAAGAGGGGGGGCGCAAATGATGGCGGGCGGCATGTGCGCGGCCCAGAGGGGGGCCAGGGATGTATTGAAATAAGGAGAGGCGCCATGGGATCTGGGGAGACCCCCCCTCCTAGTCATCGCCCCCCTCTTGGCCGCCCCCGACCTCGGCGTCGCCGCCTCGTCCGAGTCGTCGCTGGAGCCCTCGCGAGCGGCGGACCCCTGGCAGCCTTCACGCAGCCTCGTCTCGATCAGGGGGGGGGGGGGAGGCCGAGCCTGTGCCCGAAGAGCTGCCCGAGTGAGGTCGAGACCAGGGCGCCCAAGTCGTTCCGAGCGCGCCAGGGTGTGACCGAAGTTCTCGGTTCGAAGCCAAACCCATCTTCAAGCTCGGTCACAAGCTCGGTCACACTCCGTGTTCGGTCACACGTTCAGTCACGTTTTCGGCCACTGACCTTGGTCGGTCACAAACATTTTCGGCTGTTCGGGAGGGCGTGATGGCATCATCCCGTTGAGGAACAATCGCAACGGAGGGCCGTTTCCCATCTTCGGGCTATGGGGGACCTCATCGGATCCCGAGACCCAGGACGGAAAGCCGTCTGGGGAGCAACGTGGTGAAGAACCCGACGGAGAATTTCTCGAAACGTATCCAGATCCACGCCTTCGCGGTCTGGATTCCGAGGCGATCCCGCGGGTGCGCGGTCGCCTTGACATGTTCCACGCGAGGCATCCGTAGGGGGGGGGGGTAAAAAAAACATGGGGTCGCCTGCCCGCGAGGCCATGGATACCGATATGCGATGTTTTCCGCCCACGATTCCATCAGAGAAGATGCCACCTCTTCCAGGTCGTCAAAGTCCATTGTCAGCTTCTGCTTCAGCGAGCGCATGCGGTGGACAGAGAGGGACGTGTCCTCGTCCTCGTCGCACTCGTCGAAGTCCAAAGACCGCATGGTCTTATGTAGGAGAAGAAAAAAACGCCATAAGCACAAACTGTTGGCGCTCCGCGCGGATTTCTTGGATCTGGGCTTGGTCCCCTCCCCGGTGCGCGGAGCGCGCCAGGGGAGGGGCGCCGCCAGGGGGGCCCAAGCGCGGATCCAAGAAACCTGCGCGTCACGCCAAAAGTGTAATGGTTATGGCGCCGTTTCCTTCCTCGATCGCGGTCATCGTCGGGCCCCTCGCCCATGAAGCTGTACTCCGTGCTGGAGTCGCAGTCGGGGCCCCGCGGCGAGCCTCCCGGGTCGGACTGCCAGTCGGTCGTCGAGCTGCTCCACGTCAGGGATGCCTTCGCTGCCGCGGGCGTCGCGCGCGGAGTGCTGCAGAGGCGGCTCCAGGCCGGGGTGCTCTCCGAGCGCAGCGGGGGGTCGCAGACCTCTGGAAGGGCAGGGCACGGCACCGAGATCAGGTCGGGCACGCCCCCCTTCCGGCGGATTTTGGGGGAAGGATCCAAAATAGCCCCCCCGTCCCCTAAAAAAACGACTCTGAAAGACTCAAGCAATCATCGAAAAGTCGTCCCAGGGCTATTTCTTTTGACTGTTTTCGAATGTTCCCCCTGTAGAGGGACGTGCCCGACTTAACACTAAGAGAAACTCTGGGAACTCCGTGCGGAGTTCTTCGATCGGCGCTGCGCCCCTTCCCTGGCGCGCGGAGCGCGTCAGGGGCGGCGTCGGAAGCGCCGCCAGGGGGGCCCAGCGCCGATCCGAGAAATCCGCGAGGAGCTCCGACAGTTTATGTCTGTGCCGATATTCCTTCTCCGAAGAAACTAATCCGCACTTGGCTCTCAGGTCATAATTCGCGTCTACGGCGGGCGTTCTGCACAATCCTGGCAACCCCGGAACGCCTTCGGCGAGGCGCAGCCGCTGAAGGGCGTCCCAGGCTGGAAAGCCGCCGACAGCCGACGAACACGTCCGAAAGCATGGAACCTCGAAGTCGGATCGAAAGTTTATTTTCACGACGTCTTTCTGCGTCGAAGGCCTCGAGCTCCAGGAGGCCCTCCGGGACGACGTCGTCGTCGGCGAGGACGCGGCCGCGGGGCGTCATGATGCCGAACTCCTGGGGGTCTGCCGCCGTCTCGTCGGCGAGCAGGCGCTTCAGCGCGTGGACCTGGAGAAACCAAAAAGCATAAACATCAGGTCGGGCATGTCCTCCTACAGGGGGACGTTGGAAGAAAACTAAAAATACTACAAAAATGCTCCCGACTATACAACAAAAATACTACAAAATAGTCAAAACATATTAGAAAAATCGCTCCCGACTATACTTTGACACTTTTTGACTATTCCTCCTGTGGAGGGACATGCCGACTTAACATAACATCGACTTTCGGATGGTCAACGTTTTCATATTCGGCGTCTCGACATTGGGCGGGAGGGGGGGAGGGGGGGGGATCGTGGCTCCGGACCCCTGCTTACTGCGCAGTGCGTCAAATGGGGGAGGGGCCCCGCCTGCTCGAGACAGGCGCCAGAAACAGCCAAGATCTACTCCATGCGGGGGGGGGGAGGGGGGGTTAGATGCTCATTCTGGGGACCTTCCTGGAGCCGCTCGCTCCGCTCGTGCGTCGAAGCTGCGTCGAACCTGAGTCGAATATGAGCCGAATATGAGTCGAATCTGAGTCGAACCTGAGTCGAACCTGAGTCGAACCTGAGTCAAACCTGAGTCGAACAGATCCATCAGGTGGGCCCCAGGAAGGTCCCCAAAACGAGCATCGAAAGGGGGGTTGCGAGTGGCCGCGCCGATCGGTCACACAATGAATAAGAGAACCGCCACATGCCCGCGCGGGGTCTCCTGGATCGACGCCGGACCGATTGACCCCGGGCCCCTCCCAGGGCGCTCTGCGTCCTCGCTGGGCCTCCCTGGAGGTTTCCTCGGCGCCACGCCCACAGCTCTGCATCGAAAGGCTGGTCAGGATGGACCCGGGGAGAGTTCCGGGGACCGACGGTGACCAGAGTTGGGCCCAGCTTGGGTCGGGCATGTACTCCGACACGCGAACCTGGGCAGAAAAATGCCAAGTAGTCCCAAAAAAAATCACAAATTGCTCAAGATGGTCCACAAAAAATTGTCCCCTGAATATTTTTGTTGACTCTCTTTGAGGATTCTTCCTGCACAGGGACATGCCCGACAGAAGGCCAGGCCTCTCCCTCCCTTTCCTCGCATTCCCTCCCACCGCCCTCCCTCCTCCCTCCCTCCCACCTCCCTCCCTCCTCCCTCCCACCTCCCTCCTCCCTCCCTCTTCCCTCCCTCCTCCCTCCCTCCCTCCTCCCTCCCTCCCACCTCCCACCTCCCTCCCTCCCTCCCTCCCTCCTCCCTCCTCCCTCCCTCCCTCCTCCCTCCCTCCCTCCTCCCTCCCTCCTGGCGCAGCGTCCCTCCAAGAGATCCGGGCGGCCCTTCCAAAGTTTTTGCGCAAATGTGTGCCCTGTTGCCCCGCGGGGGCCGGCGTGCGCGGGTCCACGGAGAGCTCCACGTTGCAGTCGAGGTCCCTGTCCGTCCAGAGGGTGAGCCTGTAGCCCTCGCCCGCGCTCTGTGCAGCCATCTGGCCAA